CGGAAGGCCGTTACTTTAATCATCATTTCGGTTTCCATATAATAACTAAATTATTTATATGCTGTAAACTCATATTTGCTTAGCACCGTTGCATTTCGCATCAAAAATTGTCTCTTTGCATCTTTCATTTCTCTATCGCCTGACAACTTAAATGCTCCACTTTTTACGAGCCTCAACTGAATTTAAAGCCATCACTCAATATTATTAGCTCGGAAGCATACTTGCTTAACTGAGCTAAAGTAAGGGCCACATGTCCTCTTTATTACTCTCTTTTTAGTCCTTCGCCACTTCTACCTTTTACATGTCAGCCTTATCCACTATACAATCCATTTTCGACCCGAATAGTGCAGAGTATAATTATGACATGTTGCCACTACGTCACACTACAACGAATACCATTGGGTCACAGAGTAGACGTGTATTTTAAGGCAAGCCTTCAAATATCACATTTATAGTGGGATAACCCACAAAGCAAAGCTTTATTTCATGTGTTGCGTTTACTCTATTTCGTTTAAGGTGATGAAGGATTGGTAGTAGAATTTTCCCACAATGCTATGAGTAGAGCTGATGCTTCCATTGAATTTCATAGAACCTTGCTTTCTCAAAAGTTGTTCTTATCCAGGCTGGACTGCAGTTTCGACCTTGCATAGGTCTTATCGACACTCTACACTGCCACGAGGGCCATAAGGAAATATGAATTTCAAGTAATGTCTGGCATTTTCAATATCACATTCGATGTTGGGATTGTCAGCTCCACTTATATGATTGTGAGAAAATTCAACTACCATTTTTTCATCATCTTAACGAAATAGAACAAACACGACTTATATATCTGATTTACTGGTAGTCTCATTTACGAAGAAAGTTTTATTTTACCATTACAATAGGTCGCGTTACTTATATTCATAATAAGTAGATTTTGAAACTAATTATATCTTAAATAGAATTTAAAATTACACAAGATCACATAAAGGGTAAAAAAATTCTGTTGGCCTCACGATACAATCAAATTTCACTTATCGTAGTTTCCTAAAAACTATTTCATCCAAGGTTGAATGGAGTTTAGATCTTGCCTCTGTTCCAACAACACCCAAACGGGAATGGAGCCAGAGTAGTAAGGCGCATGATTCCGAAATGCCTTCACTACGCAACACTGCCATGACTTCCGATGGATCAGAGAGGAGATGTGAATTTTATTTCAAGCCTTTCTTATAACACAATTATAGTGGGATTGCAGATGCAGTATTCCTGTAAATATATTCACTATATTTCGTTTAACGTGATAAGGAGATTGGTAGTTGAATTTTACCCGCAATGCTATGAGTAGACTTTACGCTTCCATTGGATCTCACGGACTTTCTTTTCTTCTCCAAGAAATGCTGATAGTCCCAAAACCTACTTAATATAAACACAAATAATGTGATTTATTGTAATGGCAAAAATCAGGATTTTCTGCTTATCAATAATTGTCTCCAGAATTGAGTTAGTTATTTATCTTCTATATTAATTATAGTGCTTTTATTTGATTTTCGAGCCTGACCTTAGGCTTTTTTATTCACTCTGATTTAGGACTGTTATTTCGTATGGACGTCAACACACTGCTATAAACACTCAAGTTGAAGTCGCATGACTAATCCTTCTATATCTATCTATGCCATTATATTTTCGATTTAAGCTACTAATATATATAAGAGGTAGGACGGAGCCGGACAGTCGTCTTGACCCGGGGTTAACTTGACAGTTTTACAAGAGTGAGTTCAAGCAATGATGGCGTCCATCATCGGTTGGACGAAATCTCAGCTCGTTTGCACCCGTAACGAGAGAGAATGTCTCGCGGACTGCGTTAACCTGAACGTCGTATCCAAGCCAAACGGCTGCAATACAACGGAAATCAGCCATCGTCTTCTGGTGGGATCGACCTTTGAATCTCTTCTTCATGCATTTCCATACGAACTAAAATTCCCTTCAAATATGTTATCTCAGGAGATTTATCGAAACCTAGTTACTCGGCTTACCTACAGTTGTTTATCCCCTCATGCCCACTAGTCTAGCTGTAGCTACTATTCAAAATCTACTCAGTCTCAAAATCTACTTAATAAGAATGTAAAAAGTTACGTTAACATAATCCCACTGCTATTCGATCCCAAACGCATCTTATATTATTTTCTAATGCATATTTTCTAGTATCTGTTTGTTATACTTCAATTAATGCCTCCCTATGACTCTCCTACCTGCAATTCAGGATTGTCAGCACAACACCAGCGGTGACAAATGCAATTTGTGCGCACCCGGCTTCTACGGAGACCCAACCACTGGGCAACCTAATGCCTGTCGTCGATGCGAATGCCCTAGCCTTACGAACCAATTGACCGATCTCTGTATCGCCAGTGTGCCACGTGAAGAAGATGATGGTAGTGGAGAGCTGAACATGTTTATGGATAAGAAGACGAGGCCTTATGTGTGCCTAGATTGTACAGAGAAGTGAGTGACGCGAAATTATAAACTAAAATACTTAACTATATAGTCACTTTGGTAGACAGCAAAAAGCAAGCGAATCCCCTCTGCAACATAACTATTGACGTCTAACTGTAATTCCTGTCGTTATTAGATAATCACCGCATAAAAGTAGGCATTTCACTAAAAAAAATTTGAGCTTACTACCTGAGTAATTGTAATTACAAATAGTCACATTCTAAATAGTTAAAGTAATTTTTTTCTGATCGAATTTAGCCATAATTAGGGCTTATATCGAATCTAGTCACGTTTGCTTTTGGGCCTTTAAATTAGCCTCAAAAAGTCTTAACATTTTCTCTTAATTTTTGCACATTTATTAAAGTTACATCCTAGAGACGGCTAACTTGCAGATTATGATAATGCTATAATTTTCATTAAATTTTGAATATATTTTCTAACAATCCAACATAGAGAAAGTTTTAAATAGTTTTTTTGAGTACCACAAAAGTTTTATAGCCAGTCAGATATAGTTTAAGAAAACAATGAGGCTTAAGGAAAAATTTTAACAGATATATTTAAAAAATGAATTATTAGACATATATCATTATTCGCTGATATTTTGGGGGAATTTTCATCATGACCAACTTTAACTTGAAATTTTTCTCATGACTCCACCTTCAGTCTAATTGCAGTTTTTTACTTGTTCAAACAAAAGTATCTCACCATAAGTATGCCTGAAATGTAGTCCTATATTTTTATTGTCTCGAGACAGGTTCTTAACTTAGA